TTAATTCCGGGGCGCTCTCGCTCTCGACTCTCCACCGCTCACTCACTCTTCTATAGTCTCTCGGCTCTCTCTCTGGCCTCTGTTCGCGGCTCCGCCTCTACCTCTCTGGCTCGGAGTCGCAGCCTCCTCGCGCCATGACTGCGTGACACGCTTTCTGGTTGCAGCCTCGCACCGTCGCAGTTACTCTACACTCTTTCTGCTTCTTCATCTGCCGTGGCGATTCGCCGCCACCGGCGACTGACCGACTGCGACTCGGCGACCGCTTCTCATCTGTACCCTCCCAAGCCTCCGCCGGTATTATTTATTTATATATTTTGTTTATAGCAATATTTATTTATTTATTTATTATTTGTTTATTTATTTGTATTTATTAATTTGATGGAAATGCAATGTGATTATGTGGGTATTAAAATATGTGATTATTAATTTTTTTGATGGTTTTGTGTGTTACTTCTGCATATAAATTTATGTATTAATTGTGTTAATGTTAAATTATATATTATTTATGTATTTATGAATTATTGTTAAGATTTTTATTATTGAATTAAAAAGGGAAAAATAATACAACCAGTATGTTCGCACCAGACCGAACCGGACTGGAAAATTTCTAGACAGGACCGAACATTATACGGTCCGATTTTTAGTATGGGTTTTATACTTTTCTTGGTCTCAGCCTAATGCAGTCCGGTCTGGTTTTGAACCGCTGCGCCTCCTAGTTGGGTAGTGGGAGGCAGAGGAAGGCAGGAATTTTGGGTTTGGAAAGGCATTCAAGGTGATAAGCAGTTTGCTTAGCTTATCTCTCTGGGTACCTTTTGAGCCACTTGAGAGACAGGAAATAGGAGGACTTTTGAGGTTACTGTTTCTGATTTTGACGGGTTTACTAAAGATTATTGTTTTCAAACCTTGAGGTTTTTTATCAAGGGTCAACTACTTTATCGAGCGAGAATTTATGAGATCTTACTGATGTTTTGCCAAACTTGAAATGTTTTTTACATAGGTTCCAACCTCTTGGTGCATTTCAATATTTATACTTTTTTCTTTTCACAAAAAAAAGTAAGTGGAAATACAAGGAGAGTGTCTTTTTTGTTTCCTTAATTGAATTGTATCATGTTATATATTATGCCTTAAGAAAAATGCTAATAGGTTATTTTTTCTACTAAAAAATGTTAACATGTTTTCAACATTTCGAACTTGTATTATGATATCATATCTGGGTAGATTTTGTTTATGTTTTCATGGTTTCTCTTTTTCAAGGTTCTTCTGTACTAGATTTCAATGGGACAAGAGTTAGATGAGATGAATGACACTCAACGGGCTTTGGAGGAGGCTTTTGATGTGGAGTCTGCAGGAGACTTGGAGATTGAACTCGAAGTAGAAGGAGGAGAGGAAGACATAGAAGGAGAAGAAGGGGAGGATGGCATTGAACACGAGGAGGAGGATGAGTATATTTTCAGATTTAAGAGTGGGGTGAACCCTTTGGATTTTGTAGGAGATGGTGTCTCTGGTATCCAAATGTACCAACGATTTGAGCGGCTTGAGTATGAAGTTCTAGCTGAGAAGAAACGTAAAGCACTTGCTGACAGTGATGGGTGAGTTCACCTTCTTTAGTGGAAAATTTTAGACACTTTTTAATTGCATATGCTGAAAGAATGGTAAGAAAAAGAGTCATTATTAGTGAAGAACAGTGTTACGGTGTTTTGGATAATTACATAAAGTTCCACTTGCAACCTTGGTCTAAGTGGCATCACTAGTAAAAACGACAATGCTTTTTAAAGAAATAGGCTATGGAATTTTTACCAAGAGCTTGTTACTTAAATGACAAAGTCCCTCTTTTTGGGCTTCAAGATTGGCTCAACCCCGTTATGCTCCCATTAGAGCCACCTTAAGAAAAAACCACAGAGTTTCTATTTTTGGATAAATAGTAGCTGTCCTGTAGGCTATTGGTTTTTTTGGTGGAACTTTAGAAGGGAACTATTCCTTCTTTAGTATTTATGATTTTGTAATTCATGTGTTTCTTAAAACAGCAGTGAAGCACCAGCAAAGAAGGCTAGACAGGAGGATATTTCTGCAGCAAGCATGGAAGATATAATGGAGGCTATTAATTATACCTGTCGGAAAAGATCAAGGAAGGTAAAATGTTTTTCACGGTCACTGGTATGCTTTTTCTAGTCATTTCAAGAATCCTATAGGATAAGTTTCATAAATGTATTACAGCCTTTACCGACCCTAGCTGTTTAGAGAATGATATTTTTTCAAGTTAGAAATAGTTATCAATACACCCTTGATCTGGTTATTTCTTTCTGTTTGGATTGTTTAGTTATTTGTAGAATTTTTCGCTTAGGAAAGTTTCTCTTGAAAAAAAATCTCTCTTTCTTAAAATGTAAACATGATAAGGTTTTCCAAGGGGAAGAAAAGAAAATAGAAGTATAACAAAATGCTCTCATGATTCAAATTTCACATTATTGTAGCTCTGAGTGGCACCAGTTTTCTTAGTTCATAAAAGAGTAGGTATTTTGCTTGGTTGCACCTTGCATTATACTTTCATGTGGTTGGCATAGTGAGTAGAGTTTTCTTCTTAAGACCCTTTTTGTCTTTCGAGCTTTATGCTGCTTCATGATTTTGGTTTGTAGTTGTAGATCAATCCTTATGTGTAGTATTAGCAAAATCAAGAGACTCTTGACTGAATTGTTATTCTTAGCATCATGTAAGAGGTGATTATTTTTTCCAGTAGTTGGCCAGTCTGAGAGGCCTTGCTCTGGATTCTAGAACTATTCCTTTATCATCTTTTTCATGTCTTTTCTTTCTTTTCTTCTTTGTTCCCAGGGATTTTATTTCTTTCTTTTTAGCCTTTTTTTTGTGGGTTTTTCAAATTGAAAAAGCACCAAATCTTCTTGTTGGATTTCCTTTGGGAGAATCTTGTTGAACCTAACCCTAAAATTCAATATGCGATGCTATTGTTGCTTTTATTTCTCATTTTGCCACTCTGGCTCAGATAAAATCTTGCAGAATTGATCTAGCTTGCTCCTCTGGTGTGATATCATATGCTTTTTTCTTATTGGATTTAGAAAGTGGTGGTTTCAAGTTCTTCGCTTCATTACAACACATGCCATTTTGATTCATGGTTGATGTAGTGTTGCTTGTTAAATTTGTTCAGTCATATTTTAGAGCTCTGTCTCTCTCTCTCTCTCTCTCACGCGCGCACACACACAAACACGCAATCTTTCACTCTTTTTTGTGTCTGTCTCTCCGCCTCTTGCATTCTTTGCAAGTGTCAATTATAAATTAGTTAATTTTTCCTCCCCTGTGCACTTTGTTTTATGCATATCCTTGTCTATGTAGCTATTGTTTCTGTAATTCTCTGACTGCAAATTATTCTTATTTAATGGCTTATGCAGCTTAAGAAAAGGGGTCGGCGGAAGGGATCAAAGAAGAAGCTAAGCCCCGAACTATCACGAATGCTTGGTAGTGCTACTCTTCATTATGTACATGGACGTTACAAAGAGGTAGACTATATAAATTAATCATACTGTTTCTGTTTGTGATCTGGTGGTCAAGTATGAATATT